TAATTTCTAGAAGAAAAATTAAAATACGGTATTTTCAATATATGATAATTTCTAGAAGAATTAAATTCGCAAATGTAGTAAATTAAAATTGAAATACGATATTTTCAAAATAATTTTACTTAATATTTAATAATTTAAAGCCGAGAAAGACGATTTTCGAAAAGGTGAGAAAAAGAGAGAGAAAGAGAGGGAAAAAGTTCAAGGAAGTTCAAAACAAAATTTGAAAGATCTGACATATACGCATGCAACTGTTCGTTATTTGAATATATACATAAACGCGCACATGCACATGTACGTACATACACATATACCATTTATTAACCATGTACTAAATTACAACAGGCAATAACGCAGCCGGAGACAAAACAAATATGTTCTTCGAGTACAGAGTACGAGAGATAAATATACCGATATCACGAGGAGATAAAACACTATGGTATCTTTCACGATAAAAAAGAAAATTGCGGAGCTGTTTTTAAAATTTTTTAAATGATGTAGCTATATATATATGAGAGGATAAGAAATATTTAATTAAGAAATTAATTTACACGTGGAACTTTCTCTCTAGAGTTTTAAAATGAATTGATAATAAGAGTTTAAGAGTCCAGAAGTTCAAAAATATATTTATTGTTATTTTTGAATTGATAATAAGAGTTTAAGAGTCCAGAAGTTCAAAAATATATTTATCTTATGATTCTGTAATGTCCATGAAGAAATATTATTTTCGCATTTTATTTTCATTTTAATTACAAAACGTATGTCGTATAATTCTTTTTGAATTGTTAATTTTTTAATAACTGCATTGCATATGGATTAGCTATATAATAATTGAGATCTAAAAAATTGCAATTAAATATGAATTACAATTAGGACAAGAAACATTAATATTTTAAATAATATATAAGCAAGAGTGACTGGTACAAACTAATTTGCAACACTAGCACCGGATAATTGTGCAATATATATTCACCACATTATGATAGTTAAAAAAACTTAAATACAAAAAAGTATACATGACCATACGTACTGCCAGTCTATTATATATCTAACACTTGTTTTACACACAGCCATTGAATGGACCAGACACGCAATTTGTCATTGTAATATTTGCGTTACTAATATATAATTGCAAGAGTTGGTGTAAATAAATAAATAAGTTTCAATTATGTGAGAAACAATTACGATTTATGTGACAAAACAAGAGCATCGCGATTACAGGAAAAATAGAATCAGCTTTTCGCAAAAAAAAAAAACCGGAAATATACTCTTATACTTAATATCTGCGATTTCAATCTGGGATTTCTAATGCAGGCTCAAAAAATTCTTTGTAAAGTGCTACTAATGAAAAACAGATCCATATATATAAGTTTCTAAAAAAATGTATATAATATACATATAATAATTTATTACTATTATATTGATATTTAGTTATAACATTCTTTTAAACTTGTTATTTTTAATCCACAAATGCGGATTAAAATTGCACGAGAAATTATTATTTAATAAACATATAGAATATTGTCAAGTTAAAAGTGTTTGCTAGCTCCCTGCGTGAATTACAATCGTTCACAATGAAGCGTCAAATAATTTTTCCTATATTACAATTCGTATTTAGAAAGCAAAGTACGCTTCCTCGAGAATTATCGTATTCATGTCGTACATAAACATACGGGAGTGTGCAATACACGTTTGCGTACGTTCGACGGAATGTGATTAAATGGTATGGATAATCGCAAAAAATATCAGACTGCAAAAGCAAACGTGTTTTAACTCGATATTTTTCCGCATGTAGGATTAAACCGCGTGATTTATGACAATCATGTTGCAATCTCAAAATTACCCGCGCCACGTAATTACAAATTATTGTTATAAGGAGGGAAAGATTAATCAATGCAATATAGCCATCGGCCAATCGTACTACATATCTCAATAAGGCGTAGCAACTTTGTCGATAGAGAGAACAGGATATAATTTGATTTGATGATTAAAATATTTGCAGAAATAAAATTGTAATTAAAAAATAGAATTGTTAAGAACTATTTATTTAATATTTAATATACTTAATAAACCATAAAAAAGTTTATATCTTATTTTATTGCTGATTTTGCTATTTTATTGCTGATTTAATAACAATATAATATTTATATATCACTCTATAATGTATATAGTTTCTTTATCAAAAAATTATGTTCAAGCACAGGAGTTTATTTGTACAACAATAACTTATCTATATAAATATTTTTTTAAGTTTAATAAAAATAATCAGTATTTTTTGCTTGCTTAGTTAAAAGTTAAGATTCTTTTAAACTTCCAAGTTTTATTTTTAACTTCCGCTTTAAAATTCTTCGAAGAAATATATTTTCCCATAATTTTAATTCTCTATTGATGTTATTTCCACGCAATGCATTCTTCTTATCTATATAATTTGCTATCTTATTTGAAAAAAAATGTCAGCTTATTTCGAGATTTATTGAGATCCTCTTTCGAATCAGGTTGATCTTTCGCTCCGCGCTTTTGCGGGACAGGGAAAGGGGAGACCCACCGACAATTTAGGACTTAAAGAGAGGGTCCCGACCACCTGCGCTTGCTCGGAGCAAGTAACACTACCTGGTCCAAACTTCGCCGAGGAACTGCCGAGTTATCTTTCAGAGATCGAACAAAGAACTCCAGATGGAACTCGCGGACCCTATACTTAGCTTCCGTCTCTTAAACTCACATTCACACGTATGTTTGTTCACTTTACGGATTCGATCTTCTGGAGTTTTGTGTTCCAACGGATCAATTTTTTTTGAGCAATTTCTTCAAAAAACTTTCAACAAAGAAAAGCTCCATATGACGCTAAAAAGAAGGAAGCTGAACTTTTATGAAAGAAACGTTTCCTAAATATTTTCTTTCGATTTATCTCAAAGGAACGTGTTACAAAGTAACCGAGATGACAAGAAATATCTGACGAAGATGTCAAGTACGAAGAATCTCTTAATTTGGAGATCGAGATTTAAAATGATATTCCAGTCCAGTAAATCCTATCCTTTAGAAGGAATGGAAAGGAATTTTAAATCCTATTCTTTGTTCAATCATCATCTAATTTAAAAAAATACTGAATAACGTGAATAAATATCAACTCATGGAGGGTTCTCATGAAATCACATGTACCTCGATCTTCGATCATGTTGCCGAGTGAGATAAACACAAGAGTCATCAATGTAAGATAATTCCATTGTCCTCAAGAGAGGAGAAACATCTCGAGTTATTGCGCAGCGTGTTGATTAAAACGCGTATTGTAAATTTCCCGAGAAATAAAATAATTAAGTTGCGCGATTTTCACTCAAATATGCTGATAATATCATCTAGTAAATATCGTCTAACTTATCGCGCTGCTACTTTTCGGTTTTAATTGCATTCTAATTAAAAACTTCAGAATTATTACTCCGTGTATTTCCGATGTGCGAAAATAATTCCGATTTTAGCATTTGCATATCACTGTGACGTTCTTCTACTGCATACTAACGTAGGCTATATTCTTACGTAGGTTGTATGAATCGGTGATAACTATTCTTTGCACACTTGCATTTGAATAATTTGTCCGCGCCAAGAAATTATTTACGCTGAAAAGAGCATAAGGATGACGTAGTAACTCGTGTAAATTCCACTTCAGAAATTAATGTATATTTAATCTGTGCTCAATTAGATCAGCCAAAGGAATACAAAAACTAAAACACGATATAAATAAATCTGTTCGATATCTAAGCGAGCGCGATAACAAAGTAAATTCTGAAATACATCCGTATTTTAAAATTTTATTAAAATTTTATAATAATATATAATATGTTTATATTATTAACTATTGGATGCACATCTGTATAAATAAAAGTTGTCAAATTTTATATTTATGATAACTGGTTTTAGTAGTAGAGTTATGTAAAGAAATCCTGTATAAATGAAACGGATGGAACATATATATTGGTTTTTAAAAATCAATTGTTCTATAAGTTTTATAAAGGCTTTATAAAGTTACAAAGTTGCAAGAATTTTCATTTTTTTTACTCATCCTACGCAATTCTAATCTATGTTCATCTAACAACTTCTAATTATTTTGTGAATTTTTGTACTTGTGCATACTTACGAAATTTCGTTGAAGAAATTTTTCAGCTAACATGATATAACTTACGAGCGATTAACAAAAAGAATCATGACTGATAAAAGTGAATCAGAAAATCGACCCCTCTATCTAAAGACTTATATATCTAACTCTAGATAAAAAAAGTGATAAAAATGATATTTGACATCATTGTGCAATATTTGTGTCACTCGCTTTATAATGGTTTTGAAATAAATGAATGAAACTTAGATAAAAATGAATGAAATTTAGCCAAAAATGTTAAACATTAAGTGTTAAATTGCAAATCTCTTCTCTCTTCTTCTATCATTCATTATTTACAAAATTAAAATTCTTTGCTAAGATTATACATTGTATATATGATAATATTTTGCAAAAGCTGAATAGATTTCGAAGACTGAATAGATTTTGAAGATAATATCATTTCATGTTTTCACGATAATAATGATAAACATTTGATATGTAACGACATTATCATAATTCTTATTGTAATAATAATTATAATAGCAAGTCCTTTTTCTAAGAGAAGGATTTCTCCATTTTCTTTTACAAAGGGATAGCGCTCTTGACATAAATATAACTATAAATAGAGTAATTTAATAATTGATATCTCGACATTAAAATATAAAATAATGAAACGTATAATATATCAAGGACAATATATGATTTTATAAATTATACAGTTATCTATATTATATTTATTTTCCAAGTAAAATACTTTCCCCCATCTTATCTAACATTAGAAAAATATTATAGAAAAAACAATGATTGTCGAATTGTATCGCTCAATTTCTTGATAACAATTACTATCACTGACGCGGAATATTTTTGATGTTTCTCTCAAATACTTTCTGCAGTCGTCAAATGAGGATTCGTAGTGAGTTTTTATCATCTCTGTCGAAAAGTATCGAATCCGATCTATCCACGTATGTGCCAGAAGTCACGCCGGTCTGCAAACCGTCACGGTTATCTAACGTCAGCGTTCGTAGGTGGGGCATCGTGAAGTAACGTTTGCAACGTTGTAGTAACGCTTGCACGAGCTGTACCGAGTGCAACCGCGTCTGCTAAAATCTCTGATACCGCGAACGGAGCGCAGTTTGCATTGTTCCTCGAACAACAGTCTCTCTTGGAATAAAGGTATATAAAGGCATATATATTCACGAATGATAGAATTAATTTATTATGACTATTTAATGAATGTTTGATAGTTCGATAGTTCCACGGAATTCCGGGAAACATAGACTGCATTATAGACTGTAGGAAGAATTAATATTTATATATTTTTATATCATACTTATATAGCACGATAAAAATTGATTATAAACTCTATTTTATTTATTTATTTATTTACTTATTTATTAATGTTTTATCTATTTATTTATTTATTTATATTTTTTTAAAGAGTGTCAAGAGAAGCATCATAATAATAAATGCAAATTTTGTTTTAAAAAAATGTTATCTTATTTATTTGGACTGTTAAGAACTTTCGTTCTCTAGTATCTGATAGCGTCGATATGATACTTCTAGGTAGCAATCAAATTCTTAGAACTTTGATAGATTTGTCATATTGCATGGGAAATATAAAAGCATATTTGTAACGTTACAAATTGTGCAGGCACATAAACAGTCATATAAATTAATAACATTAATTTCTTTAATATATCCTTAAAATTTCTACCCATTTTTCAATCTATCATTCAGTAATGTTTCGAGAAGTCTAACAAAGCATTTGCCTCGACAAACAAACTGGCCACCAGATGTTACTGAAGAAAGAGTAAGAGAAAGTTTCATGTTACACAAAATGGCTCGAAAATGGTGTATTTCTATGGACCATAGAATTTAGAAACTACATGCTAAAAAAAATATTTAATTATTATATATATTATATATATTATTAAAATATTTAATTATTTATTGAAAACATAAAGGATAATAATTCTGTAAAATATTTTTAAATTTACAAAAATTGTGAATGAATATTAAATTTATTCCCTAAGAATTATTATAATTATTATATGAATATCATATAATTCATATAATAATTATATGAATATAATTCAATATAATTCATATAATAATTATATGAATATAATTATTATATGAATTATATGAATATTAAATTTATTCCCTAAAAATTATTATAATTATTTATATTGTAATAAAACATATTAAATTTATTCCATTCTGTATATTGTTCACTAACAACGGTTAGTTAATGCTACAAAATAACTGCAAATATTTATAGCCACACTCAATATATAATAAAGCTATTCACTGTAATGACAATTCTAATAACAAAAAAGTTCATCATATTAATAGCATTTTTATAGCATTTATGGGAACTATCGACATATATATTAATACGTATACCTCAACCTCGTAAAATATTTTTATCCGTCGAATGATAAAGTTGGATCATTTTCAGAATAAGTTGCAACAATGGAAATCTCGGCAGCTTGGCTGCTGACCATCTTCTTAGCGGCCACTACTGTCACGGATAGTGTGCCCACTTCTTCTGATTCGTCTTTATCTAGTTCCACGGAATTTGTTCGCAATGAAATAAATACAACTATTGAATCTGCGAAAGTGTCAACGCAGGACAAATTTATAGATTATACCAGACCTTTCTCGAATATGAAGGATATATTGATGCAAGAAATTCGCACTTTAGATAAAGACGTTTCTGATGCCAAGGTCAGTGTTTAATTACATGAAAGACACGTAATATTTTTAATCATCTAATAAAATTATAGTGAATCAGTGTCTCTTATATTTTTTCATTAAAAGAAAAATTTAATTCACAAATATTTTTTTATTACGTGAATCATTAAGATTTTAAATTAATACATTTATGTTGAGGAATTAAAATTATTTTATCAAATATAATTTTAAAAGTCAAATGTGATATTCTGATTAATCTTAATCTAATTTTGTGTTTTTAAATACAATTAAAAACGATTATACAGATTCAAGAAGAAGTAGCAGAGACTTTAAAAGCCGAAGCGCAAAGAGACCGCACGGATTTGCGAATCAAAACGACTGATAAACCGATCAAGTCAATAACAAAGAAAGTGAAATCTGCGGCGGAAAGTATGGAATTTAAGAAATTTGATGATACGCCATATGATGAAGAGGATAATGAAAATGACGAAGAGGAGTACTACGAAGAAGACGAGGATCCAGATCTTGATGACGACGAAGAAGTCATGACGCAGTGTCCTGATTATTGCAAATGCACAGGACAATACGCCGCTGCAACGACTGCAACGTATGTTTCACAGCTTTTCTAATCGAATCATTATATAATGCAATAACAACATATTCCTTAGTGAAGTGGCAGATAAAAAGTTCGCTGATAGACCATTTCCTGCTCAGAGACAGAGAATAATTATGACATATATATTTCTATATATATTTCTTTATATCAACACAAAAAATTGTTCGCGTAATCAAATAAATGCTCCATTTTTGTTTTATGCATATGACATATTTTAATTGTTGGAATGTTATTGTTTACACAATTTACTCGAAGATACGTATGAATACATAATAAAAGAGATAATTAAAAAATTACGACGTTACGGCATATTTGAATTTGATTCTATCATGTTCTAGAGGTCTTTTTATATTTTTCAAGTCGTCCTAAGAATTAATTCATCATTCCCGTATTTAGTTTCAGATATAAAAATAATAAAACTGCATGACAATCTTTTGATTAAATCTCGATTAATTAATTTTTATCACACAGAGATAAAGAGTATCAATATCTAACTTTTTCCAACAATTATTTTTTTCTCTTTTTATTTCGGTAGATGCACCAAATTAGTTGATGAACAAGCCTTCGGACCAGGCATCGCGCATCTGCGAATTGAAAATGCTCCCCCGATTCAATTGGGACCAAATGTCCTACGAGCTCGCGGGCTCCACCAATTGGAATCCATCGCCATTGTCGACACACAGATAGTCGAGTTAGATCGCACTGCATTTAACGGCCTCCTATATCTGTTCGCGGTGAATTTGACGCGCAATGGTCTTCACGATATTCATCCGAATACCTTCCAGAACAATACACAGCTCAGTTTGCTCACAATCTCCGGTAACATGTTGAGGCACATGCACGACACGCATACGAAACCGACAAAGCACTACCTGTTGCACGCATCATCGATCACTGATTTTGATTTCTCGAACAATGGAATGCTGCGACTGAAACGCACCGCTTTCTCCAAGATGCACAGCCTCAGTTACATCAATTTGCGTGGCAACAGATTGAGGGAGATCGATAACGCAATCTTCGACTCGCTGGATTCGCTCGTGGAAGTGGACCTTTCGGATAATATCCTGAATGACCTCCCACTCGATCTATTTACTAACAAAGAAGTACAAGTTCTTCGTATCGCTGGTAAGAAAATGGTCATATTTAAATGCGATGTAATTTAAATTAGAAAATAAGCACAAGACGAAATGTGTGTGCGATTATTGAAATTAACAGGGAAATAATTGAGCACATTTTTATTTTATCGACCTATTGCCGATGTATAAATTAAATTCAGATAATTATGTTATTGTTGAGAAAAACATTGATTAATATAGAAGAAATTATTTTCAGGAAATAATATATCGTCGTTGGCTACCGTAAGTGCCTCAAAACTGACGACGCTTGACGCTTCGAGAAATAAGATTAAAGTATTCGCCAAAGAGGATCTGAATGGTGTTCCATTATTAGAGGCACTATACATCAAGTCGAATAATCTGAAAAGAATTCACCAACATGCTTTCAGCGACCTCGACCAATTGCGAAATCTTGACATCAGTGATAATAAGCTCTCTTCATTAACGGAGCATCATTTCAAATCTAACCCAAGATTACAGATTCTGCTGATGAATGATAATCCTACTTTACAAACATTACCAGTTTTCAAAACTTATGGTTTGGTATACGATACATTCAGGTAAAATATCTCAGCTTATCGTTATATTTAAAAAATATAAGAAGTAAGCAAATCATTTTATATCAATAACTATCGTAATTTAACAGCATTTATCGTTTTGAATGCGCGAATTGTGGTCTGGACACTCTTCAACCAGACACATTTAACGAAATGCCGGCGTTAGCTCGGTTGAATCTTGCAACAAATCACCTAACTGGTTTGCCTATTGGACTCTTGGACCGTCTCTCATCTCTACGAGATCTGGATCTTTCCAATAATTACATCCGTACTCTGCAACCTGGGATGTTCCACGGTGCCGAGAGTTTGACCAAACTGAGTCTTGCGAATAATCCATTGACTACATTGCAAGTAACGCCGTTTTTGGATACACCAGGACTCGTGAAACTGGACGTGAGTCGTTGCAATCTCGAACGTGTTTGGAGCGAAGCTAGAACACCGTTGAGAAGTCTTCGGTGAGATTTAAAATAAAAATTTTCTTTCATATCATTTTCTTTCACACAACTTCTTCTTTTATACAATTTTGTATAAATTTTATCTTTAATTTAAGGGTTATTTTAAGTTTTCTTCCAAAACAGAAGTTTTGCTATAGCAAAATTCATATTTAATAAACACAAGACATTAATATAATAAATATAAACTAATATAATATATTCATTGATCGATGTATTTCATGCCTTCGTTTCAGATTCTTGTCGGTTCGAGCTAATCTTTTACGACGAATCACTATCGAAGAACTTAGAGCTATGCCAAAACTGTCGGGTCTAGATTTGTCGCACAATCCTCTAGATTGTGATGAAGAATTTAATCAAGCTCTGCAATGGCTCACCGATCGTGGTATTACACCGACAGAAATGGTTAAGTGAGTAAATAAATATTCAAATTCTATATATATATATATATATATATATATATATATATATATATATCCATCTTGTACATCGCACAAGAATTCTTTCATATCTCATAATGCTTTTTATAGATATTTCAATGATTTTGCTAACATTGATGACGACACCGATTCGAAGGGCATCAGTCAATGGACAGATTTAGCGAAGATAGCTTGCGATGGAATCGACGATGGACCACCACCGAGACGATTTCCTAGTAAAAATATAGTTCCGAAGAACGATTTTCTCGATGACTCAGAGGATTCCGATTCTCTACTAGAAAGAAACGAGCTCGATAAGGACGAGGTAAGATGATAGCAAATAATTTTCGGCAACATGTTTGTTAAAAAAAAAATATCCCTTATATACTTTAATTATCTTCAATTTCTCTCGAGATATTATAATGTTTTAATCTCGACAATATTATCGCGACATGATGACACAATAATGTCAAATGCATTTGTTGTAGGAGCTTCTCAAACTGAATATCGATCACGGTATACATGCCGATGATCCGCGACTCATGGAAGATCAAGAATATGACGAAGACTTCACGATCACCACAGAATACCATTCTTGGTACAATTTGAGGCCTACTTTCAAAATCTGGCTAGTTTCCGGCACCGTTTTATTCGTTCTGGTCATGTTTCTCTTGGCAGCGCGCATTGCCTGTTGTTTGGCAAATAAACGAGGACGTGGTCCGGTTCTCAGGCCACCTATGATCCTTCGTCAAGGTCTGGTCGACAATAAGAATTGCGGTTTAGTCTACAAACCCCTGCAGGAAGAAATAGCCACACCTCACATGCCAAAACGAGGTAGCTTCTACTCAAGCAGCACCTTCCATTACGATAAAATTGTACCAGAGAGTGTATAGAGAAAATTTATTTTTTGATCAACTGATCGACTGGGCCGACTGATTGATCGTGACCACTTTACGTCTACGCTTTCGCAAATCAAGAGAAATTCTTCACAAATTGTTATTGGTTGAACAACGGAGCCGATAAAAGAGAAAGCGAGTGCATGCTAGAATAACTGTTCTCGCGAAAATGCGTTAATTATAATTTCCAATTAGAACATTTAAACAAACTCTTCTTTATTTGATCATAGCCAACAATACGTATGATTGGCAAGTTTTTTATTATTTCTATTGAAAGATATAACTATTATCATTTAATTAAATATTATAAAAATATATGCAATTTATTGAAATACACCTCGTTTTTTGAGCTTTGTCACATTTTCAAAGTTTACACAAAGAGAGCGATTAATATATAAGTGCGTTTATTATCGTTATTATTATAATTCAAAAATGATGCCTGATAATGGTAGCAAAGCCTGGAAATGATAGCAAAGTACTTATTATTTATAGGTATTATTTAAACTTACAATTTTAAGCTTACAACTTATTTTGATAAGCGGCTGGGCGAATTTCGAAGCTTAAGTTTTTTTAAACAGTACTGCTTGTTTATAGAAAAATATATATATATATATATAATTTAGAAATTATAAAGATTGAATAATAATCTATAATTCTCTTTTTAATGATCGAATAATAATTGATAATTCTCTTTTTTAATAATATTGATATTAAAAATTAATATAAAAAATTTGGACAAAAACATATCAATTAGTGATCGATGATGGATGAATGAATGTATGACAGATGCAAAATTGTATACAAAATAGAGATAAAAGAGAGCTTTTTGTAAGATGTCCAATCAAAATAATATATGCCAACACAGTACCACAACAATAAATAAGTATAATTTTCATAATTATTAAATATAATTTTTATTTAATAATTATTTAATAATTGACTTATGGAGACAATATTCTTATCCAGCGGAGATCCATAAATTTACGCGCGGCATTAACATTTGCAAAGTAAAGTATTGTGTCGCTGCAAATACTATTATACATTACTATATATATGCTGTAAATAACATTTGTAATAATAAAAATATATCGTTTTAATAAAATTTTAAATAAAATCAAAGTAATGTTTGCTTTCTGTTTCAACCGAGTTACAAAAATGAAAATCTTAAAGAGAAGAATATATAGATATTAAAAAAAGAAATATAAAAACGTTAGAAACGTGTGATTTAGATGAGAGGACCGAAAAATGTTTCGTTAGCTTCACGTTTTTACATATACGCTTATAATATTCCTTGAAGATTGAATACAAAAACAAAATTTATACAACAACTAATATATCTATAGAGATAAATGACGTGAATTGAACGAGCTCGATTGAATAACTTCTATCATAACAAGAACCGATGCGATAAAATTATGCAAAATAAGAATAACTGATCAAAATCAGATTAGAATTATTGACGTAATCGAGTAATAACTTTATAGATACAAAATTTATATTATTGACAAGTTCTATAAGCAAAAAAATTATCCGGATATATATACATTTCATTTAGTAAATTAAATATATTTTAAGTATGTACTACATATTTTGCTTATAATGCTTATAAAAAAATTAAATTAAACATCTACGTAATCAATCTTCACTTGTCAGCCTTGAAATAAATAATTAAAATGAATGTAAAATCACATTCAATAATGGTATGCAGTAAAGTGTTCTTCTAAGAGCAAAAAAATTTAAGCAATAGAAATGTAAAATTTTCAAATCGTTTGCGTAGCATTGTATTTAAAATTTAAAATTTCAATTTCATAAAACGAAACTTCAGGAATTGTTTTCTAACTATTCAAACGCGATAAAGAGCAGGCAGCAGCATAAAACATACATGATAAAATTCTATCGGTACAGCCCTGTCTATACGAACACATGCAACTAAGTGACCTCGTCACAAACTTAAGTAAATAAGCTGGAATAAAAAGAGGGGGAATGAACTGGTCGTGGTATCAAGGTGACTATGTGGCTTAGTGAAGCATGAGAGTTCGTCGAAAACATTACTTCGTAATATTTCCGATTGAAAACACTTGTTCTAATTTTCTCCAATCAATATTTGTGTGATCTTAATATATATATTGCATATAAAATGCTGCCGAGACGACGTGTCATTGATCTTTTGCAAGTTATCTCAACTCAATCGTAAGTAAATCAAATGTTTATCGAAAATTTTATATGGAAAAAAATATGAGCAGCGATATTATGTCAAATGACATGTATTTTCACCCGAGAATACAGATTAGTATAATAATGATAAATTTAATGGAAAAGTACACTACATCTTATCTAATAACATCAATATAGACACCAAGTACGATAATTGAGATAACATTTTCGCATTTTATTTCGTTAAAATCGTTATAAAAACAAGTCGCGTCAACTTTGTGAAGATATTAAATAATATATAATTGTACAAAAATATAAAGGGAGGCTGTAACAATATCAAGTAGGCCATCTGTCAAAGAAATCTATATGCGTAATATTCATTAAAACATCGTATATTAGTATGATATCAATGCCAATTAGTGACGAAAGGAAATTTTTTTACGGTAAACGTGTAAAATAAATATAAAAATTTTAGATGCAATTATTTTGACTCGTATTTTTTAGATGCAGATGTCCGGCACACGGAAATCCAGGAATTACCAACGTATGGGAACACGGAAAAACATGGAGCACTGCGACAAACATTTTGCCCGACAAGGAGTACGCATTCGAGGTAAATCAAAAAAATTTACTATACTAAATGGTAAACGAAGCCATTTATCATTAGATATGATAATTCGTTTTTTAAATGATTATAACACAGACTATTAAATCAAAGATGTGTGTTGTATTCAGATAAGAATTATTTTTAAATCATTGTATTTGTTTGCCACATGTTTCTAACTTTCTGATAATAATCGGAACATTACATCGAACTATATCAGATGCAATTGGTGTAATTGCTCTAATAAAACTGTTTAAAAAATTTATTATACGAAGTAATACGTAAGACAAGAAGAAATAAGTAGTAAATTTAAATAGTGCAAAAGAAAAATATTTGAAAAATATTGAAAAAGAACTAGATTTTCAATAGTTTGTTCTTATAAAGAGTTCGAAATAATTTGCATTTGTAATTTTAAATAATAAGACAAATTACAATAGATAATATTGTAATATAATTTTAGATAATATATACATTAGTTATTTACATAAATTTATAAAAATTACGTTAAATTTTAGATGGCCTGCTCTTCCGTAAGATATGGAATAGGAGTAACAAGAGAATTGGGAATGGACATGCAAAATTTAGGAGCGAAGAGAACATGTCTAATGACTGATTCTAATTTGGTGACTTTATCTCCTGTAAAAACTGCTATTGATAGTCTCGTCAAATATGGTATACAATTCGAGATATACGATAAAGTACGGGTGGAACCAACAGAACAAAGTTTACAGGAATCGATTGAATTCGCCAAACGTGGAAATTTCGACGCTTTTGTAGCGGTACATATGCAAAAAACACAATTATATTACGCTTCGTTTTCATCGACAATCTTGACTAAATTTAATATCTTGATAATCAATTCTCAGCTAAATAATCAATAGTTACCTATCAACAGTTATCTCATCAATAGTTACCTATCTCTTTTCATATCGCGGTTGATATAATATCGTCAGAATAATAAAGTTTGATTATATAAAAAAAATAATTAAGCTAGATGTTTTAAATAATTTTATATTAAATCTTTTCTCTCATGCATATAAGAAATGCAAAAGTTTTTTTATGAGATACAATTTTTATATAACATTAAAAAAAAAAAAGAATTATCTATATGTAAGATAAGTTCGTAAATTATTAATTTAAGTGCTACAGGTTGGCGGTGGTTCCGTGATGGACACCTGCAAAGCGGCTAATCTGTACAGTTGCAATCCAGACGCCGAATTTTTGGATTACGTGAACGCGCCGATCGGGAAAGGAAAACCTATTCAGATTCCTCTGAAACCGCTTGTCGCTGTTCCAACGACTTCTGGTACCGGTTCTGAGACAACTGGAGTAGCTATTTTCGATTATCGACCGTTAAAGGCCAAAACGGGAATCGCGAACAGGTAATAATTATCACGTATCATTGAAAAAGATATACAGAAATTAATTTAATACTAATAAAATTAATATTATTAATTTAATTAAGTAATTAATTAAATTAATTCGTTAATGGTTCCATCACAGAGCTCTACGTCCAATATTAGGACTCATCGATCCCCAACATACCTTGACTTTACCGGAGAAAGTGTGTGCGTATTCTGGTTTCGATGTGCTCTGTCATGCCTTAGAATCCTTCACAGCAATACCCTATACAGAGAGGACGCCATGCCCGTCAAATCCGATTCTGAGACCAGCCTACCAAGGCAGCAATCCTATCAGCGATGTCTGGGCGCGATATGCTCTACAAATTATGCGCAAGTAATGAATCAATCAATTGCTTATACAAAGTGTCCTAAGGTCTGCGTATTTACTTGAAATGACGGAGATTTTGAAATCAAATTAAAATACAAAATCGATATTTGAAATCAAATTCAATATTTTGATTAATGTTTTTATCAAGCTAGAAATACATAATATTTAAATATAATATTTCAAAGTTATGTAATATTAAAAATATCCTTTTTGAATAAATAACAAAATTTGATTTTTCTAGATTTTCAATCAATTTCAATTTGTAAATCGAATTGGTTTGTAAGTAAATTTAATTTATAAATAAAATTTATAGAAATTGAAAAATTTTATTTACGAGTTTTCATACAAAAAAATGATTGATGGCTTTAAATTCATTAAAGAAAATACGCATTTTTTGAAACATACTTTCTAAAACTAGATTGGCATAAAAACATATATAAATAAAATAATTTCTTGCAGATACTTTAAGCGAGCAGTTTACAACTCAAATGATTTGGAAGCGAGAAGTTCTATGCATTTAGCGAGTACAATGGCAGGTGTTGGTTTTGGAAACGCCGGTGTCCATCTTTGTCATGGACTTTCGTATCCCATCAGCGGAAATGTTCGAAATTTCCAACCAAAAGTAAAAAACTTAAATTGCTGTACTTATTATAAACTACGTAAACTTAAATGTATAACTCAAATGTATATATTATAAATTTATAGAAAATTATTAATTGTAATTTTATATAAATTTATAGTATATAATTTATATAAAATTTTTATAAAATTATTTCTGTATTTTACATTATATTGTTTGCATGTTTTTAAAATTTTTCCATAATTTTCCAGCTGGAATGTACTCACTGTTATTTTATTTAAGGGATACAGCAACGATCATCCCATAGTTCCTCACGGTTTATCCGTAGTGATTTCCGCTCCAGCTGTCTTTTCCTTTATCGGAAGCGCGTGTCCAGAGAAGCACCTGGAAGCTGCAGAATTACTTGGTGCAGATGTTAAAAATGCCAAACGGGCCGACGCTGGAAAAATTCTAGCCGATATAGTAAAAGAATATATGCACGTTATGAAAATCGAAAACGGTTTGACAGAGCTCGGTTTCAAGAAAGAAGACATTCCTACTCTGGTTCAAGGAACATTGCCTCAGGTAAATAATGTATTATATTTAACAAGGAATATTTTTTCGATGTCTTTTTATCAAGGAAAAAATATGACAAGTATAACCGATATAATTGATTAATGTTACATAGCTTTTATTTCCAGAATACATACTAAACTTTATTTTTTTTAGCATCGCATTACGAAATTAGCGCCTCGAGAACAATCGGAAGAGGACCTCGCACAATTATTTGAAAATTCATTTAGCATTTATTGAAACTTAATATTTTTTGATTGTATATATTATCAGAAGATTATGTAATAAAGATTCTATTTTTTATACGATGAAAAGTAGAATTTATCAAAAAATATATTAATTTTATTTATTGTTAGATTCTACGTAACCTTATTTATTCTTTTATCTTAATAGTTTATGTTAAAAAAATGAGGATGAATATGTTCTTTGTAATTTATAATATTATTTTTAATTACTTTATTTAATAAATTATTATTAATGTGATAATCATAAGATATAATATTATACTAATGTCATTAATTTAATAATGCAAAATTATCAGTTAACTACCATCCTATAGATTTGCTTTTTTTAAATTTATTTTTACTTAATTTGTTTATTTTTGATAAAACTATTACAATTAATTTTTATAACAATTTAATTTTAATAAAATAATGAATTTTAATTAACTTCATCTATTCTTGCATGTATAATTTCTAACAAATTACTTCGCATGTGTGATATTTATAGATAAGAAATAATGTGGAGTAAATATGTACTTTTTCTTTTTTTTCTAATTAAATTTATAACATGTTAAATAATAAAACTGTGACGCGTGTATACAACTTCTCTCGTAGAGTTTCGTAATAAGTTTCACACTGTTTACCATTTGAGATAATGTCATTCGATATTCTTAAATCCTTTTCCCTCTGAATAAGAATTATCAAATATTAGCTAAAATAACAATTTCGCACACGAGTCATGGCAGTTGTAGGAATTAATGGATTTGGTAGAATAGGAAGAATGTGTCTTCGCGCTTGCTTAGAAAAGCGCATTGAGGTAAATCTCCGATTATGCATAATATAAATATGAATATTAGTTAATAATATATTTATATAAATATCATAGGTAAAATTAATCAACGATCCATTCCTTACAACCGAACATATGATATATCTTTTTAAATACGATTCTACTCACGGATCGTATCGTCTACCTTTGGAATGTGATGAAGAGTTTATAGTTATCGGTGGTAAATATAATTATAATTTTCATGCTTGAAAAATGAAATATAAAAAAACTCTGAATAAAATAAGTTTATTCTATTCTGTATAAATCATATATTAAAAATATTATAAACTTTGATATAAATTTAATAATTTATAAAATTAAAATAATCACATATTTTATTTGTAATCAATGGGAAAATTTTTCTACAACAATAAATTTCAGTTTTTCTAGACTTTCAAAAATGTTCCAATTATTCTTGTTATCTAACACTTGCTATCTAACACTTAAAAAGATGATTTTTAATAATAATATTTTACATATTAATAATATTTTCTATTTATAAAAAATTATAAATTTATAAAAAATTATTGCTGGATCGTTTAATGAGAGATAAGAATTGCTACATCGCAAGAAAAGCACCCGAAGAAAATACCGTGGAAAAAAATGGGAGTAATATATGTAATAGAGGCTAGCGGAGCATTTATAACAGTAGAAAACGCAAAAGTAAGCTTAAAAATCGATGTTTTTCTTTGTACTCACTAACAGGATGTGTTAATGGATAAAACGGCTAGCTCTTCTTGCAAAACTCTGAAAAAAAAAGAATTTATTTTCATCAAGTTATCAGATTTACATTAATTTTGCGATCGCAGATTTGAATATTTATTCAAACTCTGTGAAATCCTTGAGATATATTATTCGTTTATAAATATATATATATATATATATATATATATATTTAAAAAATTATATTCAAAAAATTATAATCCAATTATATCTTAAAAATACATATCAGTTCCATATCGAAGGTGGCGCAAAAAAAGTTATTATCACTGCGCCGTCATCTAATGCACCAATGCTCGTTTTTGGAGTCAATCATATGTGCTACAACCCTAAGGATGACGAAATCGTTTCTGCTACATCCTGCACTACAAACTGTGCAGCTCCAATTGTCAAAATTATGCACGACAACTTTGAAATTCTCGATGCAATGATAACTAGTATACACGCGGTGACAGCATCTCAAAATACCTTGGATGGTCCAATAGAGAAGGTTATTCAATCTAATGTAAAATTTTAATGCTAATAATATTTCTTGCGTACAAAAAAATATTGCAAGATCCAAAAAAGACGCTAAAAATGTATGCTTTTTTGATTATTTAATTATTATATTTATCCCACAATATCATATTTTCAAGTTTCTTTAATAATTTTTCATTTGTCTTCGGAGAAAATATCACAATTTTTATTTGTAGCTTAATTAAATTAAAATAAGAGAAATAAAAATATAAAAAAATTATCAAAGCAAACTATTTCGTGCGATTATTTTTGCTTTAGTGTCGGTCTACCACATTATGGAGAGACGGCAGAGGCGCTCTCCAGAATATCATTCCGACTGCAACCGGCGCCGCCAAGTCATTAGCCAAAATTATTCCCGAACTCAAGGGCAAAATCTCAGCCATAGCGTTTAGAGTACCGATCTCTAACGTTTCATTATGCGACATGACATTCAGGTAAGGATGCAGGCTTGCTACAAGTTTATCGAACAACTGACTATAACTGACCTATAAAATCTGACAATGACATATACTTAACGTTTCGGTTACGTTAATATAACAATGGATTTGAGACAATAACCAGGATTTCCTTGACATTAATGTTACATTTGATGAGACGTTTAAACGACCATACATAATATTAATTGTGCGAGTTATGAGCCAATATTCTTGTGCTTGAAAACTGTTTCTGATTTTCCGCGATTTCTCTTTCTTCTTTTTAGAGTTAATAAGCCGACAACGTATGAAGAAGTGAAAGAAGCGATGAGAGAGGCATCCAAAGGACAGCTAGAAAATGTGCTGGGATACACGGAAGATGATTGTGTGTCGTCGGATTTCAATCACACTACCTATTCCTGTGTGTTCGATGCTAAAGCAGGCATTCCGCAGACTAGTACTTTTATCAAGATTGTTGCCTGGTAACAATATTATTCATAAAATATGCATATAAAATTTTCTGCCAAAAAATCTATAAATATAATATATATATATATATATATATATATATATATATAAATAAATATAAATTATTTAATTCATAATATTCACAAAATATGCAATCCATGTTCAATGTATAAAAATTACATGCGGGAGATTTATAATTTTTTAAATGGAAACATTGTACATTAATACTGATAGTTTCGATTTTTTTACAGGTATGATAATGAATACGGTTATGCATTTCGTATAGCCGACCTGATTCAATACATGTACAACGCCGATCGCGGTAATATTCCTGTAACTGGACAAGCTATCGAGCATGGTGATTTTTAAAGAGATTATTATTTAATAATAATATTTAAAAATTTATTTTATAGATACACACTCATGTATTTTTTACATAAATAAAGTAGAATAAATATTTCCGCTGATATTAAATTCGAAGTAAATGTCTTCAAGATATGAGTAGAAAGTGAAAAATTAGACCTCTATAAGTGAGGTTATAGCATTCGCTTTTACACATATATAAGATACTATTAAAACTGGAAAACTAAAAAATGTAAAAATGATATTCATATAACTATATATTGTATATCGAGATTATTAAGAAGTGTCTTCACTGATATTTTGCTAAACAATTACCTCAAAGAATCAAGTACTTTTGAAAAAAGAAAATGTCCTCACCTTCCGTTAAGCACACTTGTTGCGCTTTCACTCCCGCGATCTGCGAAATAAACGCATCGAGCTTATAACACACCAAATACTTATTACTCCAACATTTTCAAGGAGTAATTACTTGAAAATGTTGGAGTACTCGACACTTCACAAACTGGCACTTTTCAAATGGATCAAAAAGAAAACGATAATAATCAAACTTTGAATCGGCATCGGCGTCCGTGCAACTTCGCGGCGCGCGTCGATAACACGTCACGTGACCACGTGACGCCGAGCGGCGGCGTTGACAGGTCACGTGGCGCCGAGTGTCAACGATTTCGCACGAGGCGGCGTCGGTCGCGCGCCAGCGCAAGCGGGTGCGGTTTATATTAGCGATCCGTGCCCTTCAAATGACACTACTTCGTTAGTAACCGCCACGGACGGAACTCAACTCTCTTACGTGGTGAGTATCCTCCTCTCTCTCTCTCTCAATTTTGACACGTATCTCATAATTTTATGTTCCTGACTGAACTACATATTACGATGAATCATCGTTGCCAGTCGTTCATTCATCCGTTGCATGGAATTCGTTTCTATCGAACGTACGAATGTCGGCGTCTCCCATTTCGTGCGGCCGGCCATTCTCGTGACGTCGATGAACGGGTAGTCTCATGATCACGCGAGGCGATCAATTTTTTACATCCCATAGGAGAGCTTTCGAGAAACGCGACGTGCCGCAATGATGTAACGATGAGACGAGATATCTTCTCGCCGGCCGCGATAATTGATTCGCGAGAAATGCTATCCGGTTGTGTATAGATGACGATCGTTAGATGGTCCTTACGCGATCAATATTAATTGCTCAACAATTATATATGGTTATTAATAGAATCGATATTTGGCGTACCATGTCGCAAGCCTTCATCGATCGGATATTGCTAGTCGTTTAAAATATAGTTTGCATATTGAGATTATCGTTGTTACATTGCATCACTTAATATTAGCATATTGATTATTTCACTGACAATTTTTATATTAAAGATTTTTTTATGCAATAATGTAAGTCATTTTAGATATATTGATTAGATGTATTGATAACGATATTTTTTCAATATAATATCATACGAGACAATATTTTCTTGCAATTTAATAATTTCTTATTTATCTGCTTTTTATACTTGATTATTTTCATCTATGTAATTGTTTGTATTTCAAATATTTAAAGAAAAAAATTTAAGAAATTGTTTTGTGATTCAACTAATTATGATGAAAATAAGACATGAATTTTCAATTAATATTTATAATAGAAAGATTGGGTTTGTAAAAATAAAATCGTTTAATTTAATTAATTTGATGCTCTATAATTTTTTGATATCAGATTAGTACTAAAATTATTAAAATATAATAATAATTACAACAAAATTTATCGTGCTCACGAGAAACTAATTATGTTTATGTTTTAATATTTTTTATCGCCTACATACAATTTGATTGAAAATCTAAACAGTTTAACTTGCTGCAAATTACATGAGATAGACTCGTAAGATTACATCAATACGTCGAATTGTAAGCATTGTATGATGCCGATATTATGTGCGATTTATTTCTTTTAATTTTATCATATATTGTTCAATAATTTCATGCACGATAGATTATGATCTTCAAGGATACTGAGCTGTTAGAAAAACTTGAACATATCCCCTTTAACCTTGCCTGACCTCCAAGATATGCTCGTCCAATCCAACATTGTAACAAGGTGCCAAGATATTGCTGTCATAGCTGCTTTCGTAGTCGAGTCATGAAGTCAAGATTAAATAACATTGAACAATTTTGCATTACATAAGCGGTTATAAACAAATCTTTTGAATAATTAAATTATTTAATATTATTTTAATATTATCAATCGTATTTTTAGGACACGATCAATATTAAGATTGAAAAAAATATATCTATTTACATAGAATTTGTCACGAATACAACAGTAATCTTGTAAGAAATTCGCTTTAAATGCAATCTCTTCGCTTAAAACAAGATCTCTATAAGCACAGTGATGTGCAAAATTTACAATTTTCAGTGCATCTATGAATCGTATATATGCGATACAAATAACAGCATCGATAATATCAATTTTAATTTATGCGATATTCATCAGTATCCTTGAAATATGGAGCAATCAGTATCCCGAGAATAATGAAGAAATAAATAATGCGTTGCCATCACCATAAATCGCACACATCAGCCTAACCTGTCTAATAACGAGACGATGAGATTTATTTTCTCACGTCTCTTTCCCGTGACCGCGCCGCTGTCACTGATCGCAATCGCGCAGAAAACACATGGCTGTCATGCAGCACTTTATAATACCCTCGTTCGTCTATTTTCTAGTTGCTATCAAGAAAACAACATGAGCAAAATCGGAATTAACGGATTTGGCCGCATCGGCCGTCTGGTACTGAGGGCTTCCTTGGAACGTGGTGGCCAGGTACCTTGAAAAGCTACCAATTTATGAATCAGATCGAATCGCGATCGGTTTACTAATTCGAGATCTCTGTCAACTAGGTCGTCGCCATCAATGATCCTTTCATCGGTCTCGATTACATGGTCTACATGTTCAAGTATGACTCCACCCACGGCAAGTTCAAGGGAGAAGTCAAGGCCGAAGATAACTACCTCGTTGTCAACGGAAATAAGATTGCCGTTTTCAGCGAACGCGAACCGAAGGCGATTCCTTGGGCGAAGGTCGGTGCCGATTATGTCGTCGAGTCCACTGGCGTGTTCACGACCATCGAGAAAGCATCTGTATGTTCTAAGAATAAGATTCATATATCTATTTCATTGGTTCTTCAACATTATTGAGTTCAATGTCTTTTGGCGTATTTGCAGGCTCACTTGGAAGGCGGTGCCAAGAAGGTTATCATCTCTGCTCCCTCTGCTGATGCACCAATGTTCGTTGTCGGTGTAAACTTGGAAGCTTACGATCCGAGCTTCAAGGTAGTCTCTAACGCCTCCTGCACAACTAATTGCTTAGCGCCCCTTGCCAAAGTGGTTCATGACAACTTCGAGATTGTCGAGGGTCTCATGACGACTGTACATGCGATTACAGCTACTCAGAAGACCGTCGATGGGCCTTCTGGCAAGGTATGACACATAGCTATATAGCAAGAGAAATCATTAAGATGAAAGTCATGCTGTTATATAACATTGTTTACTATGTTTCTCTGATGACAGTTATGGCGCGATGGTCGTGGTGCAGCGCAAAACATTATTCCCGCTGCAACTGGTGCTGCCAAAGCAGTCGGCAAAGTTATTCCAGCTCTTAACGGAAAACTTACTGGCATGGCTTTCCGCGTACCCGTACACAATGTGTCCGTGGTTGATTTGACTGTTCGGCTTGCCAAGCCCGCAACATACGAAGCTATCAAAGCTAAAGTAAAGGAAGCTTCTGAGGGTCCTCTGAAGGGTATTTTGGGCTATACCGAGGACGACGTTGTCTCATCTGATTTCATCGGCGACAACCACTCCAGCATCTTCGATGCCAAGGCTGGCATATCTCTCAATGACAACTTTGTAAAGCTGATCTCGTGGTACGACAATGAGTTTGGTTATTCCAGTCGAGTTATTGATTTAATCAAGTTCATGCAAAGCAAAGACAACTAAACACTTTTCGCAACTCGATTATTCATCCGCAAACTTATAGTTCCGGTCTCGTCGTATGGCGAATTAATCGCTGTATGGTGCATATCATTACAAAAAAGCTGCTGTAAAAACACACCGTATTTAATCTGCCATTACTAATTTGTAGCAGCGATATACACGAAATAAAACAAAGCGTGTAGCACAATACATTCTTTCTCACACAGTTGATAGAGTTGTAGATAAAGCGGTATGTTTGTCACTAATTGGAATATAAAACAAGACAAGCTCTAGTGTTCATCGTATTTGAAAATCTATATATCTGATTATATTGTATCGGAGTTGATTCAGCTACGAATCATAAATATAAATGTGAATATTGTCGCATAAATATTATGTAACAGTAATTATAATCGCGAAATTTATGCGTAAAATTGAGATGAAATAAAAATAGAAAGAAATGTATGACAATAGTATTGCAGTTAAATTTCATTCTATTAAAGTCACAATAAACTCGAGCTATTTTATTTGTCAGAAAATGAAGAATAGTTGCATCACAATTTTTTTTTGTCACGAGTACGGAAGTTTGCTATACTTAAATTCTACCATGATAGAATTATAAGCATATATATATATACTCGTCTTTCATCACTCGTTCATTCGTACACTAGAGATATATTATAAGTACTTGTGATTTTCTTGTGTATGATTAACATTATTTTTCATTCATACAATAACGTCAATAAAAGTTCTTATGAAACTAAAATAGTTCCTTTATTTGACAGACATTTTTGCATATATGAATATTCTACATCATTATATGTTTTTACAAGATCGCAGACGGAGAATAAGTCGAAGATAATTCTAGTATAAGCATTAATCTTATACAATTTTTACACAGTATCTAAACAATTACAAAAGATCTATTTTGTCCCATAATTCATTATGTAGTTTTTATCACTCTAAATAGTTCCGTGATTTGGATTTAACAAGACAATACTGTTAATCTCATCTTGTTGATGATAGTAATATAAACTTTAAAATTTCGCGTTATATGGCACAAAGAATTATTAGTTTAATAACAACAATTACTTGGCAAATTTATTCATCTGCTATTTATATAATAAACAAAAAAGTAAAAGTATTTATGAACGCGAATTTCTTTTACGTTATATAATCACGGATTAATATATAGATTTGTAGAGAAATAGCGATTTAGGAGGAGCGCTGAGATAGAAAACTATGCCACATAAAAGCTAAATTTTCAAAAAAAAAAAAAAAAAAAGAATTTGAAAATATTATTTAATTTATAAATAACTTTGCTCATTATTTATTGACAATCATATGTGAGCAATCAATCACAACGCTATTGAAAATATTTATATGAATAGTTAGAAAAAATATAAATTGTTGTATCGCTTTTATGGCTTTGAACTATATTCTTCTCATGCTTCGAATAATATGCATATTTCTTCAAATCTACAATATAACATAAATCGATATAATCATTTCAATGAATTAATATATTAAACTCGATGTATTTAATGCGAATTGATTCTGAGCATCATATATATATCTATATAAATTTTTTTCTAAAGTATTCTGTTCCTGCAGATTTCATTTTTTTATTTTATATCTTTTTTTTAACATTTAATATGTATTTTATATATATTACAAAGTAACAGAGTCTTGATTATTTTGTTTCTCAGTTATTTTTTATATGAAAATTTGATATAATTATATGAAAATACAATCAAAAATGTGAGCATGCAAATCTTTCGAAATAATAATGGAAAGAACCAAAAATTAGATGTGCAAACTCGTGCGACTTGTAAGGCATCAGTGTGCAAAGCTCTTTTTCTTGGCAAAGCTCAGTAGCAAGTTTGCTAAACTTCAATTTTATTGGGACATGACCTAGTCATGAAAATTATGTTTACGTATGCAAAAAAAGATATATGCAAGAGAGAGATTTAGATCAATGTAAAATAGTAAAAAGCAATAGATAAAATTTTACACATCGTTAGAATACTGTTCTACGAGCAATATTTTCGTAGCAAAAAATATTTTTTGAATAACAATAATAACAATAATGCGACAAGTATGGCAAAAATCTCGTTCTGTAAGGAAAGCAGAAATGTTGTTATAATATGCACACACAATGCGCATCTTTGCAACAACAGCCCAAGTATTCATATTATAAAAAAGTTTTTATATTATGAATTATTTTAAAAGGAGTTTATATGAATATTCATACATGGAAAGACAAGATTTAAAAAATTATATGCTGCTATATCCAAGAATTTTGTGCGCGCATATATATTACGATTGCAGATATTAAAAATAAATTATGAAAAAATATTTTCGTACTAAAATTACATTAGAAGTTTTTTTGCCATCTTGTATATAAATGAGGAATTTTAAGTAGAAGAATTAGCAATTGTATGATTAACGCAAGTGATCAAGAAATAAGAGATTAATTTGATTGTATGAGGAAAATACTTTTTATGAATTTCCATCCTTTAATATCTTTTACTTAATTTTTTAAGTTTTTGTTGTTGTAATGTAATTTTCGCTTAAAATTCCTCAATTCCCACGTACAGGACCAGGAAAAAAATCGAACTTGGATTTCCTGAATGACAAATATTCTATAACGACCTATCCACACACACACACACACACACACACACACACACATACACACACACACACACACACACATTTCAATCTCTTATCTTATAATTATGCATAAGTATATTACTGGAGACATGAGTAAAACATTTAGAAAAAAAACTTCCAATGTGTGTGACGAGTATTTCAACGATACTTCCTAAACATTACTATATGAATTTGATTATTTAGATGAACTTTTACATCTTTCCACGCTTTATTATATTATTACTATATTATTGTTTGACAGCTGTTAATAGGTCTAAGAGATGTATAATTTTGAATAATTATCATATTCGAAATCATATGTGAAGAAATAGAATTTGCGCATCACGTCTGGCTGTCAATTAGCCCGTTTATGTTTGAAAATTCAATATCAGAGCACTCAAGCTTTGTTTTTAAACTTTCACAATTGGAATGGATCTGAAAAAGATCTTGAATATCTTTTTTTATTTTCTGCATAAAAATATAACAAAAAAAATTGTAGAATATGTAATGTACTTAGTTGTACAATATGACTATTCTCTCCCTTTCTCATTGAATGTCATTTATCAGATTGTCAAATTATTTCAAGTTCTATTAATAGAATTTTGATGAAAGCAGGTAATCAATGTGGTTTTTAATGTTTCAGGATAATTCTTCTAAGCAAAAAGCAGATACTAAAATAGTATTGACGACAATAATATGCAATATATTAATTCTTTTTCAGAAAGATTATAAAAATAGATATTAGAACCAATTGATGAAAGACTATAAAAATAGATATCAGAACCAATTGATTAATACTGATTTTATAAAAAAAAAAATGTGTTACAAAAAGTGACTTACGAGTCCCTTTCAGATTGTCAAGCTTGATAACATATACTTCTTATCCACTAGTCTTGTCAATCTTGAAAATATATATAAATCTATGTAGCAAGAGGTGAAAGGAAGTTATTATGCAAAATATAACACGCGATAAATCACAAGAAAATGATAATATGAAACTTTAAACTTGAGCAAATTTCTTAACACTTTTTCTTGCATATAAATCCGAATAATAGCTCATAAACTTGACAAAAGCAAATTCATAAATATTTGTAAATCTCAATATATAGAAATCATGCACAATTAATTTTGTATATACACAATTTATAATTTATATATCATATTCTTTTTTTTTTTCGTTCTCAAGTAAAATATCTAGAAATAATCTTTTTTGTGAATTTTCCTTGCCATATTTATCCACCTACATTGATTATTATGAATATGGATGAATATATCGTTGGGAAAAGAATAATTTTAGACTAGAGCATAACATATTAAATACATATGTTTACAATGAATTGAGGATATATATAATATAATACCTCATGTGGCTTTGATCGAATGAATGAAAGCGAATAATAATCACATCAAGTCAAGAGCAGGAGCTTAGCACGCAGATTTATACGTTCTTGGAGTGCGCTGGCTAATTCCCGTGTCAGTTCTTCACAGACTAAGCGTAATTCAGCATTTTTCTCCCTTAATTCTTGCAAGGTTAATTGTTTCCCGTCTTCTGATTCGTCTTTATTATCTTCTTCGCCACCATCTCGTTCTATAATAAAAAATTACATTTTTATTATCAGTATAATTAGAAAAAACAAAAATATGATATTAAAAAATAATTTATGATATTTAAAAATAATTTAAAATGCCTGCGTTTGAAAAAATAAAAAATGTTTTTAAATATATTCACAAATTCATTTTATGTAGTTCATTTTTATCAAAAAGGAATTAAATATTTTGGCTTAAATATAATATTCTTCAATTTTATAAAAAGTTTACATAGAAAAAAACAGCTATAATAAATATAATTAAAGAGAAAATGCTAAATATTGTTTTGAGAAAATAAATAATGAAAAGATTATTTTACTTGGACTGGGTTTTCTATAAATATGAAACGCTCCGCAAACTCCAGTAAATTGTTGAGATTGTGGCACTGTATTTTCTATAGATAGTATTGTAGTCTCAGGTAGTTCACTCTTGGGTGAAAAATGAGAGAAGTCTGCAACAAAACCTTGACTTTCACTTAATGTTCTTTGTCCCTCGCCTTCGCTTCTCTGTCCGACCAATTTACGAGGCGAAGTCTGTAATAAAAATACATTATTACATCTTTCGTTTTTCTCTAAAAATAAAAAAAATATATATAAAGAACTTACGATTCCTGGTGAGATTCTAGGTGGTACTAATGGTGGTGCCCCAAGAAAACTTTGACCATTTTTACCTACAAGAATGTGTATATGTGTGATACAAAACATATGACTGATTTTATAATCGCAAAAATGTTTCGCGAATTATTAACAACATACCTAATTTATTAAGATCGAGACTAGAACTGCGCGCATGTGTTCTATATGGTCTGGGTGGTGGTGGAGGCGGTGGTTCCTTCTTGGGAGTCACGATTACGGCATCTTCAGGAGCAGCAGAGGGTTTCTTTGTAAGAGGTCGTTGCACTAATGATGCTGCAGAATGTTGCAAATCATCATCTACTAAGGTAGTACAACTGCTACTGCTGCCATTAGCGCCAGAAGCGAGAATTGCTGCTTCGGGTGTTAATCGCAACGGCACTGGATGCAAAATTTTCGGATCTCGTTCGACGGCTGATTTTTGGAAATCGAAACTAACTAGCTGCAATCCTGGGCTGGTAACCGAACTACTCGCTCCAGTCGGTGAATCTACAAATTTAGTCCATTCCCTATTCTTTTCACGAGCATTCGCGGAATTCGGCGGTGATTTTTGAACTGTTGTTGCCAATGGGATTTGTGATGCGGCAGTTGTTTGCATGACTAATGGAATTGACAAGGACGGAGGTAAAACGTCCGGTAGAGGCACATGATTTCTCCTCAGTACAACAAGATGCATAGCCACATAAAATTCTTGTAAACTGAGTGCTCCGTCCCTCGTGACATCTGCAAGCTGCCAAATACGTCTTAACTCGGAAACAGGAAGTCGCGATTTTTCAAAAAATGTTCTGGCCACAGGTCCTGCTAGAAGACCTTCAGGATCAGGTTGCAGCTGTGCAAATTGCGCAGCATAATAATCACGTTGCTCATCACTGATAATCCATACTTCTTCCGGCGGGAAACCTGAACCATCGCCTTCCCCTTCACCTTCGTCACTGCTATGACGTTCTGAACTCTCCTCCTCTGTACCCAACAGTTGTCTCTGCTCTTCCGAAACCAATAAACCTTGCCAACCTCCAGAAACAGAATCGAGAATCGTCTCACCACCCAATATACCATCATTTCTTTCTTGAGTCACACTGTTTGTTGGCGTAGGAGAATCTGTGCTGCCACCAGTCTCGCGTGGAGATTCTGCTTCACTTTCACTTTCTGTAGTACTTTCTGGAGGATGATGTCTACCTTTTATTCCTCTAGTTAAATCTAAACTCCTTCTGCCATCCTCATCACCGGAGGTTGGCCACGTAAATCTTGGTAAAGTAATAACATCCGAAGATCCAGTTATCATGTCTCTAGAGATTTCTAAGCCAGCCTGATGAACCGCTATCAGTTTTAATACCGCATAAAATTGCTTCTTGCCTAGATGTGTGTTATTTTTAGTTCCCATACAAATGTCCAATATCTAAAATTGAAAGAATCATTTGTCATTAACAATATATATCTGTCTGTGTGTGTGTGTGTGTATCCAATACATAATTGATATATTTTTATATAATGTTTCAATTCTTATATACATTGCAAATTAATTTAATTGAATCAGATATCTCAACAAGTCAATCAATTTTTATTTTCTTTCCTTCAAAATATTAATGATTTCATAATCATCATTCTAATGATAGCAAACTGTTTTTGCGCCAAAAATAATGTACATTTAACACAATATTTCTATATAATGCTTCAATTCCTGTGTGCATTGCAAATTAATTTAATCGAATCAGATGTCTTAACAAGTCAATCAATTTTTATTTTCTTTCCTTCAAAATATTAATGATTTCATAATTATCATTCTAATGATAGCAAACTGTTTTTGCGCCAAAAATAATGTACATTTGACACAATATTTCTATATAATGCTTCAATTCCTGTGTGCATTGCAAATTAATTTAATTGAATCAATGTCTTAACAAGTCAATCAATTTTTATTTTCTTTCCTTCAAAATATTAATGATTTCATAATTATCATTCTAATGATCGCAAACTGTTTTTGCGCCAAAAATAATGTACATTTGACACAATATTTCTATATAATGCTTCAATTCCTGTGTGCATTGCAAATTAATTTAATTGAATCAATGTCTTAACAAGTCAATCAATTTTTATTTTCTTTCCTTCAAAATATTAATGATTTCATAATTATCATTCTAATGATCGCAAACTGTTTTTATGCCAAAAATAATGTACATTTTTCACAATGTAAACACTTAATCTCGTATTGTCCTAGATCATGTTAAAAGCTACGGAAATGATAACATAGATACTCCTACTAGCAGATTAATTGATTCAGCTGATATGACATAACCTCCACAACAAGCTTGACATTTCAACCATTTAATACGTACATATTTAACCTCGATATTAAAAAGCGACTCTCTCCAGGATCAGATGAATTCTATTCGCGATAATGAGAGGCAAAAATTCTCGACTCAAATCAGCCGTCAAACTCACCTTCATTGTGACATCCCTGGGTAAATTAGCCGAGCGCAACAACTCGGCGACTTTGATAACGGGCACGCTATCACTGTCCGCATTTTCGCAGCAATATATGAATATGTCACCGTAGTAGCGATGCTCGGTCGCTGTCAGATGGAGACTCGCCATCGTCATCAGCTCCCAATCCATCTTGAACGGTCGAGGGCGTCCGAGAAATGCCGAGAATGCGTCCCCGGGTCTCTCTGTCGCGAATCTATCCGTCTTCTCTAACGTTCCGTTCTTTTCCTGCTCCTTTTCGTCGGTTCCGAAACGACACGGTCTACTTCTTTACGTCGTGGCCGCAATCTGTGCGGTCACATCTCGTCGCGCGAATTTCGGGGAATCCCGCGGGAACGCAAGAAACGTACATTTACAGCTTACACCCCCGTGCGCGATTATCGGATGATCGCTATCTCCGGCTGACTGGCTGGCACAAGTTTGACATTACCATAATCCGTGTAGGCTAACTCCCTCGTGCATCCTCCGGACGATCTATGCGTGGTAACTCTCTGGTCGCTAGTATCGGTCGCCCAGGTGATTGGCGGAAAACTCGAAATAAATTGATAACGTGATTAGAATACGAAGCGATAGATCGATTCCTTTCACTTGCGTATTATGTATTTTCTTGCAATTTTTCTGCCTTTTTCTCTTTCTTCCCAATGTCTGTATATTATTCTCCATCTATTTATCTATCTATCTCTATTTCTCCTGATTTTACCTCGATTATTAATAATCATATTAATATCATAATACAATTATATATTAATTATTATTACAACGGTTCGATTGAATGAGTGACTACTGTTAAATGTAAATTTTTTAACATATTTGTGCATACAAAATATGCTAAAATAAAATAATTTAGAGAAACGAGAGTAGATTGATCAATATAATATATTTCATGATTTTTTTCATATTATTCTGATTCTTATTAACGACACCTCAACAAAAGTATCGAAGTTAAAAAATCAAAATCATTCATTAGTAATAGAGCCATAACACATACAATAAACGTGGAAATTACATTATTGTTGATACCTCTTACTATCATTGCACTATTTTTTGTTCTTCTAATAAATTCAATATCAGTCGATTCATACATTTACGATGTTTAATACAGATTTTTTTTTCGTAAAGAAATCACTATATGGGATCAATGGGCAAAATATATCCGTGCACATTTCAAAATTAATGAAATCGTCTAAAATTTCGTCTCATCGAAAATCGAGACATAAAAGTTCAACAAAGTGTTTACTAGTCGTCGAACATTGATATCGATTTTCGAAAATGGAAAGAAACGACATTATTAATTAATCGTACAAAATATGATTCGCGTGATTAGAAGAAATTATTACATATAATACTTCCTCGGTCGATGTAATGATAATGCTAGTTTTGTTAGCAGGAAATTAAATCGATTGATTTGGAGTTTATATGATATTTATATGGAAACAGTCAGTGGAATGAAGAATTCTCCACGTTGGCCAACGAAGCGCTCTTTTTTGCGCTATCGCAACGTCCCGCGTTTGATTTCTGTCCAATCGTTTTCAATCGCAGCTGCATCGATGGATCTTCTCTCGGACTGCCGATGATATTTTCAAAATCCCAATTGTGAAAATGTTCCTCGAGTAAGTCTTCCAATTTCTTCGAGAGCACCTCGATCTTTCTTTGTCGCTCAACGTCATGCTGTAAACAAAACGACTTTCTAAAAATAAAATTCTTGAATCTAACACGATATGAATTAAGGAGAATCAAGAGAAATTAAATTTTTTTCAAATAACGTTATAATATTGAGATATTATGTTAATCTTTGATTTATATATCAAAATTATATGATTCAAATATATAAAGAATAAATAATCCAAAATTTTAAATGATAAAATCAGTTAAAAGAGTTAGATTTATTATATACTATTGATTTTTTTTTTACAAACCTGATGATATAGTCTCGCATTATGAATAATGCGGCGGAAATCTTTTATGGCATGTTCAACTTTGTGATAAATCCGATTTTTCAGCTTATATTCGACAATCTCGAGAAACATTGGGCTTTTAACAACCTTGCAATGATCTTCCACCTGTAAATCGAAAAAGAATATTTTTACCAAATATTATCTGAAAAAAAAATGTAAATATATCTATAATATTATTTTTTTTAATAGGAAACTAACTGTTCCTGCGGACAGAGATTGACCATCTTTATTATCGCATGACAGTGGATACTTGAAGATCTTTGCTTCGTCCATTTGGCAGATAGTTTGATGAATCGTTTCCAGCTTACTAAGCGCAAGAGGACTGAGGCTCTGTTTTCTCCTGGAACTGTACCACACTGACCAGCCATGATCGCTCGATTTGATACATTTGTCTTTCGAGTGTTCCAAATCTTTTTTTCCATAAGCTTTCGAAGTGATTGACAATTTTGGTATTACACTATTCGACTTAACATCGCTGACTTTTGTGCACGATCCTTCCTCTAGTTGGAGATCGTTGCCGCCCGCACTTTTTATTATTTTCTTATCAGATGATCTTCGCGATTTATGTAAGAGCTGATAAGATTGTTCAGAATCTTTTCTCTGACACTTGCGGCCAGGAATTGGTATTACAGTAGCCATCGACGAGGTAGTCGTACATGGCTTGCATGTCTCTTTTCTCTCCAAATGCACGTTGTTCGATTTTATAGATCTTCGCACCGTCTCGGAGTACGTAGCTCGTCCAATATAACTTTCTGATTCTTTCGGTGTTTCGTCGTTTCTCGAGAAAAATCCAGAGATATGCTCGCGGGAGAAGATTGCTGGATATTCACTGTCGACGATTGTCGCAAGAATTTTCGTATCTGCATCCGCAGTTGACGACGTTGCGAACTGATCTAGTTTTACATCGGCAATCTCCGAGTTATTCGAAGATTCCAAACTTCCTGGATCTACGTCGTCCTTGTGTCGCTTCTGTTTGCCGACGACACTCGCATTATTGAGAGTCCTGATCAGCCAGGAGTCCGTTTTCACGTTGGTCTTGATGCCGAGAGCTGTTGAATATGCTTTTTAGAAAAGGTTTGATTTGCTTATTACTAGGTACCACCTGCAAAGAGATCGCGAGATATTTTTTAGTAATTTTAATAATCTTGAGTAGTGAAATGCGCTAAGTTTCCTCGAGAAGATTTATTATTTCGGTAAGGCTTAGAATTCTTGGTTTACTATTGATCTAAGTTTTTTCTTATAAAGATCTATAATTCTAGTTCTTATAAAAAATTTGACATGATAAAATCTTTTATATTTATTTTAATCAGCGCGACAATAAAATCACAGTTCACAGTAATTAATAAATTTTGTGACGATATTATTGAATATATGTTTAAGAAATATATTACAAAATGCTTTACACATAATATTACATTTACTATTTATTAATGGACTCGAGAATTAATCGTGATAAACTTATTATCTTTACCATTCTCTTCCTCGTGCAATTGGGATACTGATAAGACGCTTGTAGTGGGCGATAATCTACATGTGGACCCCGAGTCATCTTCTGAGGCTTCATAGGACGAGGCATAATCGACGTTATTGCGCTTTTGTAATTTCAGATCACTCTGCGACGTCATTGGTAATATCTCTGCATTCTCTTTGTTCTGATCATCTTTCTTGATATTATCAATGCAATCGATCTTTCTGCATGCATTGTCACAATCCTTTACGTTAAGAGCCTCGAGAAGTATCTCAGCTGAAGCGCACGCAGCTTTCCACGTAACATCCTGATGCGCATCCTGCGATAAAGATTCCGCGCGCTTTAAGATCCTAGGTGAGTTCTCGAGATTGAACAGAGGAGCAGGTAGCTGCGAAGCTGGCGGGAACGACGTCTTTATTAGCGTAGCGTTACTGATGTTGGCAGTCGGCGCGTTTGTGTGCGATAAAGGTGTCGATGATGCAAATATATTCTTCCCTTTACTGCCACACACATTGTGATGACTGCTTGTTACATGCACGTTACGTGACGTATTGCTGTTGTCTGATCGACGATTGGATCTTCTTTGATGCCTCTTCCTCGGGACGTTATAGCTTCCTGGCTTCATATATACCCGCACATCCTCGGAGCTATCGTACTCTTCTGGCGCGTGATGCGTCTGATAACGATTGATGAAGTTGCCAGCAGCCCACGGAGTGCTCTGAATATTTGGCAGATTTTGCAACGCTTGAAACTGTCGAGTTGCATCGATCGGTGGCTGTTTGGGCACGCTCGAGTACTTTGGCATCTCTTGTTGAGCGAATAATCGCGATCCCGAATTCTCATTCTTTGACTCCTCGAAATTGGCCGTGGTCGCCGGAGGTTGCGCGTTTCGCATGCTGGCGAACCAGGCCGACAGATTGGCAGCCATTTCTTTGGACTCCTTGTCGAATGTTCTCGGTTCGATTTGGCTGAGCAGAGTCATCTTATTCCTGGGCACAGCCGGGAACTCCATTCGATCGGTTTGCGATTTGCTGACGTAAGTCGAATGGACGTTCTTAGTTCCATAATTTTGCTCGAGATTTTTACTACTCGAATTAACATCGGTAATCGGACAAGAATATCCAGAAGAGAGATAACCGCCGTAAGTTAAGATTCCCGGATTGGACACGGGATACGAAGAGCTTGGATTACCGGGCAAAGGAAATGTGAAGGATAGACAGTTCTGCGCATACAGTCCACTGTAAGTTAAAGGAGTGCTTTTCGCTGGACGCTGCAGTCGGAAGGACTGATCGGATGAATTATGTGATACTACAAGTTTATGTTCTGATTTCAAGTCGTGTTTCCTGTCCTTCGTCGCATTCGTGCTCGTCTCCATCACTTTGTTCCTCAGTTGACAGAATTCGGCATTCAGCGATTTTTGAGTGGAATCACGCTTCCGGGATGTAGAGGATGCGTTTTTCGTACGGAGCTTCGCCAGACCACCAATATCAGTCATATGCACGTTAGGCACGGACTTGGTGGTATTAATCGCGGACGATAAATTCTCGGTAATCGTCCACTTGCTCCGTAATTTACTTTCTTTCTGAGCAGCCGATTGTTGCTCTTGTTGACTGGAATTGTGTTGAAAATTATGTAAATTGCTCCTCGACGTCGCAGTGGGTGGATTTTCGACGTCGCATTGAGAAGCTTTTCTAATTGTGTTTTGCTGAGCAGAGGAACTCGAAGAAGGTTGAGCGAAGAGATTATAATTTGTATAGAGCGATACGTCGCCTGGAAATGAGGAAGGTCCGCAAATCGTATTATATTTTCGATCTGTCATTTCGTTATTCTCCCCGAATTTCTGAAAGGTCCGCACTATTTGTTTTAATAGTTCACACGTGTTCTCTTCCCATATATGAAAGCATGTGATTAACTCGGGCTCCAATCTATCAAATAAATTGGGAAAGTGTTGTTTGTTCAAGTAGTTATCGAGACTCAGCCATCCATTGCTGATACGCAGAAGAGCGTTTATAAGATCATTAGCGAGAGTTCGATCTCCCGCGAAGACCGGGATACAAGTCGAAGACTTGGTGATTGCTGTTCTGGTGGCGGATGATAGACACGTTAACCAGTTTTGTTTAGAATCCGCTTGCGAATCGATGGAGCCGAGCACGATCTCTGCTTCCGTGCATCCCCAGTAAACCGTCTTTCGGATTAACTCTGGATATTGTGATCTATCGATACACGAATAGGTATCTGTTTGAACACCTATCGACGTTCCATTTTCATACTTGGAGCAAAAATCGGTGAACCAATTCGCCTTGTTAGGAACATTGTCGCCGGCGCCACTAAATGGCGCAGAGTCAGTTTTATTATCGGGCTTCAATTCCTCTTTACCTAAATCGTTGGAGGATGTGGTATTGCATAGAGCAGAGACCATCTTCTCGGCCTCGATGGTGAAGTCAAAGCTGATCGAAGATTCATCGGAATAATGCTCTTCATCGGTCTTCACGGAAATAGGTTTTTGCGAAACGCGATCAGCAGATTTAAGACTCTTGTTGTTACCTGCCGTATGTGCGTCGCACGAATTCTTGGGAGATGTTTCGATCTGAGACGGCCAGCCGTTAAAGTTGTCGCTATGAGTGACAGGAACAATTTGAGATTCACAGATGCTTGGTGGTATCTTGCTCGCGTTATTCTTGAACGAAGAAAAATCAGACGAGGACAAAGACTTGTCCTTTCGCGTTGGAGCGAGGACTAGACCAGCAGACGAATCTCCGCAGAACGGAGAAGATTGCATCATCGTAGGGAATTGATTGGTATTAAAGGTGGTTAGATTAGTATAAGGATTAGTATAAGGATTGAGGCTCGGAAGCGGGAAGGATGAGTTGGCGTTGACAGTTTGCAGACTGCAGGTGTTTGTGGCCGAAATATTGTAATAAGAAGCTTGAATCGGATGCTGCTGCTGTTGCTGGGCGTTTTGTCGGTCCTGGATAAGGCAGAAGGCCTGTACGTTTGACGGCTTAAAGTTGAACGATTGCGGTGACAGATGCGTCATTCTGGAATTATTGTTGTAATGTTCGCTGGATAACGGTCCAGCAAATGTAGACGAAGCTACTAAAAAGGACGTAGTCGACGATGGAATCGGAGCGATGCTAGAAGACGGTTGATCAAGGAGCATCACAGGTTTCGAATTGCAAGAAAGCGGCTGTTGTTGTTGATAGTATAGTTGACCACGGGATGGTTTGTTCTTGGAATGCCATCGATTATTCTTACCTATATATATGCAAAAGAGTAACTGTCATTTTCGCAAATGTAGAATAGAAAATTATAAAAAAAATTTACAATCTTATAAAATTATTTATTATCTTATAAAATAATTTATACTTAATATAACGTTTATCGCGAATTTGGAAAATTGTTTTACAAAATAATTTCGAGAAAAAAACCAAGGATAGAAATAAAATAAAATAAATTTTATAATATTAATTGAGAATACAGTTTCTTTTTCACCTTGAAGATGTAAAGTAGAGAAATTCGGTGAACCAACATAAGATTGAACGTTCGGATAAACGCACGCAGGATGAAGCACTGTTCCACATGATTGAAGAGTCACCATTGGATTACTGATGGGAGCATATAGAATTTGTTGCTGTTGTGGCTGATGACAAACGGACGTTGTCGATGGACTTGGAGTCGGGGATGATCGAGGGTGATGTACAGATGATCGATTTGATCGTGCAGCTGTTGGGCGCATGATCCGCTTGATTTTTAGATCAGAATTGAATCCTTCACCGTTTCCGAGTCGATGTTAGCAGCTTCTATTAGATGACAAAATCTGTCATGTTTATCGATATCCATTATTATTCCGAATTTTTAATATCATTGCAAATTATTTCAGAAATGCAATTGGTTACGTTATTCGTACGTCAAATTATTTTTCGTTAATAATTACGTTGATATTTCATTATATATTTAATTTTATTAGAAAAAATTATTTACTTGATTAGGACCATAACGCCATTATAATAATATATATTGCAAGCAAAATGCATCCCACATTAAATGTAATAAAGTTAAAGTAATGTTATTTAAAAGAATCCTTATTTGAACTTATAGTGATAGTCGTTTATCTAAGTGAGATGAATATAGCTGTCGAATCAGCTGTTGAAACTCATCTAACTTCTTGTTAAGAATCATGCACAGTCTTAAAAAAATCATTATTTTTATTTCACAATATATTGCAGAGTAATTAACGTCTAATTATAATGTAAAGTATAATATTATGCTTCCAGATTATATTATGCAATTATACAATATTGTGAATAATATACTGTGAAATATACATAAAAAAAAATAAAAAATATTTTCTTTCAATTTAGTTTAAAAAATATTTTTTTATAAAAATTTTTTATGAAATTGTAAAATTTTAATTTTATGTAGTATTAATTTTTATACATTTACTTTTTATTTTTTTATTATCAATGATTTTCCTCATTATCTTCCTCATTATCTTCCTCTACTGGTTCTTCTGTAAATTCCACTGTAAATATTGCTTTACCAGATATACGTCTTTCTAGAATAAATAAAATAAAATTTTATAGTGCTTTGTGTAAAACATATAAGTTTTTAATGACTTACCTGCTCTTAAAAGGAGAAGTTGACACTGATTTAATATAGCTGCTTTTGATTTGACTTCGCTTAAACCCAGCATAGATCCACTATCATAATATTAACTGAAGTAATTATGGATAATATAGATCATTCGAGCAATATTAAATAAAATAATTGGCAAAAAATTAAGTGCAACATTATTATTATACTATTTGTTATTATCACATTAATTTCAAGGATACAGATTTATAATATCATAAGGGCTCCTGATTAAATTGGGATTGTTTGCACCACTTGATATGATTACATTCTATAATATATATAATTAAATAAAAATAAACAAATATATATATATATATATATATATATATATATATATATATTCTTATTTATCATAGCAATAATCTTACTCTTTATAAAAATATTTACTAGTAAAAATTCAACAATATATGCATATTTATATTATTTGCTTTATCATACACACTTACCGTACATTTATAACACATGTAAAGTAGATGAGAGTAATGAATAGTTGCTATGCGTGTTTTTCGATTCAAAAGATCTGCATATTGAATTTCAAAACATAAACCTCTTGCTACTGCCTGCCGATACATTTTTCTTTTCATTTTTATACCAGAAATTGATGGTCTTAGGGTAATAAGATCTACATTTAATTGAGAACAAGCAAACTAAAAAATAAAAAAATCATTAAAAAAATGAGATATGGAAATTAAAATACATATACACATACATTCAAAAATCACAATTTATATTAAGAAATAAATATATTCTGACCTCCAACATATCTTGTTTAGTTGGAACAAGAGCATATAAATTATATTTTTTCAAATTTGCACATTGTGCCTGTAATAATAAAATTATTCGATATAATATTATTACTCAATAGGTGTGGTATCACTTTAATATATAAATGAATCTTTTATCTTAAAAAATATTTAAGATTTTGTATGAAGATTATTTTCAACATATATATATATATATATATATATATATATATATATATATAAATAGTATTTTACCTAAATTACATATAAAAGTTCCAAAAATATATTTCTTCCAAAACAAATAACTTAAATACAAATTTTATTAATATATTATCAAAAATTATACCAATGTATGTGTTTTTGTAGGGTCTGAACAAATAAATGTTATTCTATTAAGTATGCAAAGTTTTCCCTTAAATTTCTCATTTAATTTGCATACATTAATTGGATCTGGCACAATATTTGGTACAGATTTACTTTCTTCACCTTTCTTCTTCTTTTTTCTATCGTTATCAATAGTGCTTTCATCTATTGTTTGATTTAACATCACTGTTTTATAACCCACTGAAAACAAATGAATTTATAAATATAAAGATACACTTTCTGAGATCAATGTATTATATCTTTTATTTCGTAACTAACTTACTGTGATATAACTTTAATAAAATGTCGTATAAAAAAGGATTCTCATTGTTGTTTGGTACATTTATGCACAAATCGAAAAATCCATCACTTGGTTTAAAATCCATCTTTCTCTTTACAAATTCGTGAATTATGTCAATATAAGATATATTAAATACAAAATAAAATGTAATTGCACTTCTCTTATAAGAAGAAATATTTTATGGAGAAATTCTCTAATATTAGAATACAAGAAGTGTGGTGAGCATGTCTTTTTTTTATAATAGAAGAATTTGTTAACACACGTGTTGCATACTTAATTATATTTTACAAGTATTTTAAAATTTTTATTAACGATCGATATAACTAAATTCTTGTTAATAGCCTTTTTCGTATATATATTCGTACATATATATTAATAGTACACAAAAAAATGAGAAAAAATACTAAATACAATAATCTTCTATTATTATGTCCATCCAGTACGAGAGATATGGATCAGCTGATGCGCAAGTAATGAACACAGAGAAAACTGAGAGATGTCATGGCCTGCTTTTAGGTGATCTCTTAAAGTCACTAGATTAACAAAGTACCGCAATTTTGATCTCAATAAGATAAGCTGGAGCAAAAATGGCGTCCGATAGATAGATAGGCTGCGATTGTTGCATTTCTCCACGCAACAACCTGGTATTTTTGATATTTCCTTCCTTTTCTGCTCAACAGAAGGAGTTTTCTCACCTCACACACAACAGGACACAGGACAAACCAGGATCAAGGTTAGAAAAATTGCACTTAGTATAGATAGCTACACAAAGTGTGCACTATCTGCACTATCAAACGCCATTTTTGCTCCATCTTATCTTATTGAGATCAAAATTGCGGTACTTTGTTAATCTAGTGACTTTACCCGCGAGAATGTCAAGGTTCGTTCGAACGTGTGATGCACGTAAACATAATACACGCATGTATGTGCGCCAACAGCTCTTTTAAGAAAATACTCAGGACTGAAACAGTTTCACCAACTGGTCAATTGACGAGTTTTTTGTATCAGTGATTGGTAGAACTGTCTCATATATAAAAACTTTTTTGAAAAGTTTATTCGTCGTTGTCGCGATATTAACGTCCGGAATAAGTCCGGAATATATTCGTAAGTTATATACAATTTTATTATTAATAAATAGTTGATTGCTCTCGAAATACGATACTCGATTATACGATAGGAATCAAAATTATAAATTATTACTTTGTTGCAATCTTTACGAGCAATGATTATTCTTCTATTTCTATTTCGTTTCTATCCTAATATATATGTGTACACACACACACACACACACACACACATTTAGAATTCTAATATAAATAAATATTCTCTCTGATATCATTTGATCTAAATATAATTTGATTCAGAACGCGCAATAAAACGATTGAATAAAAATCGGATAATTAACATAACAGAAATATATATTTTAAAGTTATATACAAGTGTATTTATATACAAGTATATCTTTAAAGTCACACACACACACACACACACACACACACACACACACACACCACACACCACACACACACACACACACACACACACACACACACGTACACGTACACATGGATTAATAATTTATTAAACACACATCTTTAAAGTCACATTCACACACACACGTACACGTACACACGGATTAATTATTTATTAAACGATTAATATACTTCGTGAAGTTATTTCCATTTTTATTTTCTCATCATAATAAAAAAATTTTACATCGTTTATCAAAAGTTTAAATTAGATTTAAAAGTATATGATTGCCTCTTTTCGATAATAATTGATTATTTCACTGTACCTATTTCGTGAATAGCTATCATTACAGAGATCGCGTAGAGTTTGACAATGCAATAAAATTAATAATAAAATTCCAATAAAATTAAATATAAATTAATTATAATAATTAAATATAAATTTGTTTATAATTAACTTTTTCTACGTTGAGAAAAGTTTTTCATTTCTTTTGGAATATCTTAAAGATTCTTTTAATTAAATTTTACAAAATATATAATTATTAAATTTATAGTATTTAATATTTAGAAATAAATAGATAATATTTCATTTTTATATAGATTAAGTATACGATATTATTTATTAAAAGAATTAATATATCTTTTATGGATCTTTTTGTTAAGTTAATTATTTAGATCTACGATTCGATTGTTTTACTGCATTTCAATCCGAATTATATATTTAAATGATCGAAAAATAAAACGATAATAAAATAATAAGCAATATATATCTATTTTAAAAATAGTGTATATAAATAATAAATAATAAATAATTTTTATAAATTACTCACCGCATGTCTCTGGCTGCTTCAGGCTCTCTCCCTGCTTTCTTACTGTCCGATACTTTTCCAGATGTCCTTTTCTTTTGTTGTTTCATCGTAACACTCACGTATTCACTCGCGAACAAACAATTATATTTCAGTTAATTATATTTCAGTCATATACAGAAACGATCGCGAGACACTTTGCACGGCACTCCCGATCGCAAAATAATCATACGAGATACGTATTTTTATAATATTATTATTATTTTATTATTATTGCAAGAGAGGAATACAAAAATTACAATAATTCGCTCGATTTTTAAACGAAGCCAAAATCATGCACCATTCGATTCTTACACTAATTAACTATTTCTATTTGTTGATATATGTTTTATAATATATGCATAATAACGCGAATCATAAGATTAAAATATTAAAGTAATGTAAATTGATGATACAGCAATCGTTTAATTAATATGATATATATGCATGCAGTTTAGGAAAGTTTAAAACATCGGGCGAAATCGAATTTCATTCTACGCAATGTTAAAGAAATAATTATTATTCGTAAAGTTCGATAATCAAAGAATATTGCGAGAAAATTTGTAATTTTTGCCCCTTTCGCTTCAATTTTTATTTGCAATAATGAAAGATCGCGTTTCGATGAATTTATCGTCGCCACAATTGCATTTATTATAAGAGTTAATTATTTGTCATTTGTAATAGTCGAATTATTATATTTCGATTTAATCGCGATCGTACCTTTAGGAAAAGAATTCGATAATACGGAGCGGTCCGTATCGCTACTTTCTCCGTTGGAATGTCGCCGTGCGAATGAGGGGAGGTCGTCGCGTATGTAAACAATAGCGCGCTACGTCACAAGGCCAAATGACGTCACAAGATCGAATGACGTGTTAGCTCGCTGCCGAAATATTTAACGCGTACTGTGACGTATGTGAGAATTGTATTTATATACAAGTATATTTTTAAAGTCACACACACACACACACACACACACACACACACACACACACACACACACACACACACTCACGTACACTGAGAAAAAAAGTTGTTAACTCGACTAAACCGTTTAACTAAATTATTTTTTTTTTAATTGAAATATCGAAATATTTAAGTTAAATAAATGTTATGTTAGATTTATAATAGTTAAATATTCCAATTAAAAAGATAATAATTTAGTTAAATGGCTTAGTTAAGTTAACAACTTTTTTTCTTTTACAATTAGTCTTTTCTCTGTCTACTATTTGATTGTTTTATTACGCTTTTAGAAAGTAAAGTCCTATAATGTAACTTTTAATTTTGTATTTCATATGAAATTATTATTTTAAACATAATAATTTTCTTTCTTTGCATTTCTATCATGAATAGACATTTCCAACCTTTACTAAAAAAACTAAAAATATCCCTCAATTTTTTCTCTCTTCGGACAATTTATTTACATTTATATATAATTCTCTTTATTCCTTTAAAAATGAACATCGAGAACAATAAGGTACACGAGTATTGTAAATGTCAAAAAATGATCGCGCGAATATTATAGTTGTGAATATATAAAAATAAATGCAATATACTATGAATTTTCTACGTTATATATTGAATCGAAATTGCACAAAAGAGAAAAAGAAGAACAAGCCTATGAATAGACATTTCCATTTTTTATTAAAAAAAAAAATTAAAAATATCTCTCAATTTTTACTCTTCCTTCAGGCAAGTCTACATATATGACCAATATGATTAATTGATTCCATCTTTATATATTTATCATTATGTGCTATTAATTAAAGCCGTAAACAATATTTCAGAAATCAAAGTTGTGCGAACGTTGCGCGCAGGAATGGCCATGAGCAGAAACGAATGCGCAGTGGTTCGGCCGCCATGTTGACGCGTGACGTCATACGCGTCATTGCTACGTCATAGGCGTCATACGTGACTCGGAGTCGTACGCAGTTACACGGATCGTCGTACGTCCGCATTTTTCGCGTCTTTTAACCGTTTTTAAACGAATATCGCGAGTGAACGAGCGTCGAAAGTGTCCAAGGATGATCGCGCGACTTTTATAGTGTGTCGATGGAAACGCGCGACAGCGATTTTTGACGATATTCAGTGATGGCGTCATCGCGAAGATGGAGCGAAGTTGCGTCGCGTTATTCGCGTCCTTGATGATTATCGGATGCGAGCGAGTATCGGGAGTGCCGAATAAAGTGTCGCGCGTTCGCGTTGATGATATCGTGTGCATCAAGATCGGAATGGGACGTCCCGAGGCGAGCGAGTGGAGCGGCCTGTGGAACAGCCGGTGAACGGTGAGTAGATTTGATTTATCATATTTGCGTGACAATTCATGCTCATTTGACGCTTATACAGCATCGCGATGTCTCGAATTACGTTCGAACAAATCGGCGCCGCATCATAATTTGATGCTATGCCGTGCAATTCAAATAAAGTCGATCGCGTGAAGATGGTTCGGCTAGAAGCGATTTCAAATTTATTTTGTACGCGCGCGCAGTGCTGCACATCTCGTAGGGCAGCCTATCTCGTAGGGCTGCCAACTGTTAAACGATAAATTTGTTTGATCTAACCTAACCTAACCTCTCAGTGTCTTTGGATATCGAATGTAAACACAAGCATATGCTGCCTGGATTGTATCATGCTTTAAAAAATAATATTTAATTATTTCATTAGTGTATTACATTTCATTACGTAGTATATTAATCGTATTAAATGTGCGACCTACAGTTTTACACATTTTAATGAAGAGCATATAATATAATTGGTTAGGTTAAATTAAATTA